GAAGTAGGTCCCATGTTCCTTATTCCTTGATAGTTGGATGGGAGCAGGAGCACATCCTGTCTCAGGCAGAGTGCCTGGTTCCCCACCCTGCTCACCAAGTAAAACTGTTTTTCCTTACCAAGTCATCTTTTGTTTGCTTAGTATCTCTTATTGTCTCCTTCCTTTCAGCAAATCCAGTATCATGTTACAGTATTTGTGACAGTTTTTCATTGTCCAAGTTATTTTTCTCCTTAACAAAAACTCTCACTTATTGGGATGAAAAATTAAGACAGTATTATTTTGGATAGTATAAGCAAAAAGCATGTCAGGCTCAACAATTTATTGATAATATCAAAGGTATCTACAGTTTGGCATCTGTAGATTTCCTTTCAGTGATTCATGACGTAATGCAAATAAACATGTTATGAAGTTACTGACATAAAGTATTTTAGATGCTAATTGCTTATAAACATCCCACATATTAAAAATTAAATATTAAAACCTAATATTTAAATGTGGAAATTAAAGTGATATGTCACTTGAGAAGGCTGGGATTTCACAAAGCTGGTAGCATCATTTGGGCTCATCTCATTCTCAAAGAATTGATAGTGATGGTGGTGATAATTATTATGGTATAATTATAATAATAACAATATTAGCACTACCCTTTATTGAATCTTTATTGTGTTCCTGGCCCTGTATTGATTGCTTCCTGCATTGCCTCATGTAATCCCTATAATAAATGTAGGAACTAAGTGCTATTTGCCTTCACTTTACAGATGAGCTAGAATAAGTAGCTTCCTGAAGATCGCACAGCTGGTGGCAAAGCCTAGATTCTGTCGTGGGCTAGAATTCCAAGGTCAATGTTCTCAATGATTGAAATTGATAGCTTCCCAAATAATGCGTCTCTCCCTTTTAGCTGGACTTGAACCACTACTTAACAGTAAACAAGAAAATACTTTGTAAATTTTACTGAGGAGCTATTAAAAAGAATCAAATTGGAGACTTAAATGGCCCTTCACACATACTAACACCGATAAGAGCCATGCTCATGCTAACCACAGATCTAACAGTATTTTAGTATCAGTATCTTTGTAATTAGCAGTGTAATCCCTTGAAATTAATCTATAATATGTGAAATGATAATAAACATTCTTGTATTAGAGTCCAAATATACCCTGGTTATCTTTTGAATTGTTTCCTGAAACATGTATTTTGAAAGTTTCCATATATAGAATATCCTACCGTGTAATAAATTAATGTAGTATGAACCATAATTATCATTCTTTTTCTGATAATTCAGACTTTGAAATCAAATTACCTTAGGGAAGTTTTTCACTCGGGACTATTCCATGTTTCCACTTACCTGCATTATCTTTTCTGTCTCTCATGTAGCCTCTCCACCTTATAGTTCAAACATCAAAATCTTGATGCTGCACTGAGTTCTTTGGGGAGGGTTTTGTCCCTGTTATACTTTGGCAGGGTGAAAGAGATACAGGAAGGGGACAAGTATGCTTCAGGCCAGTAGTCTGATTCCAGGAGCCTGTATAGAACTTCCCTGCTCTCTGATTTCAATATTTAATTAATTTCAAGGGATTATATTGCTAATACTTTCTAATTAGGTCAACTGGCCTTCACCATTGTTCTCTTGTCTCTCATCAAAAATCATTTGTGTAACGTGTTGTGCAAGGTGTCTTACAAATGAAGTTAGACAAGGACTTTAGTACATCCTATAAACTGGATTCTGTATATTTGTAAATTATGCTGACAGGCGATCCTATAACACAATGAGGTCAAACGGTCCCAGAGAAAATGGCCTTTTCATGCTGTACTTAAGCCAAAAAATAAAAAAAAATAAAGGGAAAGGATCATAAGGGTGCCATGTTATGGGTGAAAATGGTTAAATTCAATCTAAGACGATGGTTACTTTTCAGATTATCTTAAAGGGACTAAATGAAATAAATTCTTAAAATGTACAGCAATAGTATATTAATTAAAGATGTTTAGAAAGAACCTACTATATGACAATATACTGTTACATACTGTAAAGTATAAGAGAATTATTAAGATACAGTTCATGATTTCGATGAGCTTGCAATTTAAAAGAGGCACCAAGATATGCATTTAATGAATTAAACGGAACAAAATAGAACAAAATGCCACATGTTAGAGGCAAAATTTACCCTAAAAGAACGTAGCTGGATTGAATTGATCTACTAAAAGGTGATCGGTTCACCCAACTGCAATTTATTGAATGCCTACTACGTGACAGGTCATGAAATAGCCCTTCCTACTAGGGGACAGTGATAATTGCAAACTAAATTATTGACTAGTTTGCAGGGTACCGGATAGAGCATTAAAATAGTTTCAGATTTGGAGTTAGAATAACCTGAATAAAACCTGTCTTTATCAATTATTCATTGGGTGACTTGGGCAAATAACTTATTAATCTCCCAGCTTCACTGTAGAAATCAGAGGTCATCTTTGATTCCCTCTTCCAATTTCATCCTACAAATAGTTAATCAACAAATTAGTCTTCAGATATTTCTTGAATACATCTCATCCTCTCTATGTACACCAAGTCCTAAGACTGGCCCTCATGATTTGTTTATGGATTCTGTCACTCAAAATGGTTTTGTAATCTCCATATCATTTTTCCATTTATCATGAGTGTTGTAACCAAAGCAACCTTTCTAAAACTTTTACCTGACGCTGTATAATACTCCTCCACTCAAAACTAGTCACTTCTCACTGCCCCAAATAAGCAAGTCTGTACGTCTTAACAAAGCAGTAAGACCTTTAATGAGCTTTACTCTCCTTACATTTTTAACCTCACATGCCAGTCTTCCTCCAACCACACCCTGTGTTTCTCTCACCCCCATCTGTTTTGTGTTTCTGTGCCTTTGTACATGCCAATTTTTATGCCAAAGTTTAAAATATTATCGGCATCCTCACTCTACCAATCCTATCTGAAAAACTTTAAGATTTTACTCTTCCTTCAACATGTTGCTCAAACACCATCTCCTTTATGAAGCATTCCTTGATAATCCTGGCACAGGTAATTTTCCATCATTAGTACATGTATGACATGTTCTGTATATCTGCTGTATTAGCACAGTACTTTTAATGTCATTATTTGTGTCTGTGCCTATTGCCTAGACAAGACTGAACACCCGAGAATAAAGACAGGGACTTTCACCTTTGCATCCTCTGTCCTAACGTAATGTCTGCCATGGAGAGGCTGTGCAATACATATTTATTGTAGTAATGACGTCAGGTTTGGGGATAAGTGGAAAGAACCAGGAAAAGGAGTTAGTATTTGAGGTAGGCATTGAAAACTTTCAAAAATATTTCCTGAATTTTAAAAATGTAATTTTGGGGTATTCAGTGTATTAACAGACACAAATGTATATATTTTTACGATTCTCCCATTAATATGTATTTTGTCTTTTTCTACCCAATGCCCCTGTGCAGCGCTTTGAGAACAGCGAAGACTTAGCATGTTAATTATCTGATTTTTAAAAAGTATGTCTCCTTGATTTCAGAAAAATACCACTCTGATTCTTCAGTCTATGTGGTATCAAAAATACTTGACTTTTCACGTGGGTCGTATGTTTAATTTCTTCTGGACACGTTTAAAATATATAAGTACATCTTTGATCCACAATGGAAAACACAGGACATCCCCGAGCATCTCACCGTTATTGTTTAACTCTTTCTGGGCAGATCACTGAGTCAGACAGTCAGAGTCATACCTGGGCATCTTCCCACTCCAAATCATGTCTATTTCTTTTTAAAAAATATATTTTATTGATTTTTTACAGAGAGGAAAGGAGAGGGATAGAGAGTTAGGAACATCAATGAGAGAGAAACATCGACCAGCTGCCTCCTGCACACCCCCTACTGGGGATGTGCCCACAACCAAGGTACATGCCCTTGACTGGAATTGAACCTGGGACCCTTCAGTCCACAGGCTGACGCTCTATCCACTGAGCCAAACAGGTCATGGCAAATCATGTCGATTTCTGTTTACCAGTGATAGTTAAGCTCTTAGGTATCTTAGAGGATTTCATATCTTAGTGGATTTTAAATAATCTGAATTATTTAAATGAAATTAATGATACTTTTTGGGATATTCCATTCTTATCTTAACTATTGCACGTTTCCACATAAGCATATCATTTAAAATACCAGTGAAAAAATCACTGATGATAATAAACTATGAATTACAGAAATCCAGAACACAGTGAAGAAAAAGAGATCTATCCTGTTATAGCCTGCTTCAAAGACAGTTCTTCCCTTCATTCTAAATCTTCATATTTACTTACATAAATCTTTTTGGTTTGGTTATCATGTCATGGTTAGGAGCCAGGGAAATCGTCATTGGAAGCCTCAATGGTTTCTGTTTGTTTTTTCACAAGAGAGCTCTGTGAAGAAACATCTGTGTTTGTAGATCTTCACATTGAAAATCCCTGCATGATAAGAAAGGTATTGACTAAATTTGAGGAGGTCATGTAGTATCTACAGGAACACCGTTAAGTGGAATAGGGTAGCATCTGAGATGCAGCCGTATCATTGGACATGATTATGTGTGGATTAGGAAGGCAATCTTGGAAGGGAGGACTGGGTTGCTTTGATCTCCTCTTCCTGTCCAAAGCTGAAGGGTTGCTCCCAGCCCTTGGGAGTTTCCTGCTGGGCTCTCAGCTTGCAGTCGCCCGGTCCACTTGCTCCAAGCCAAGTCAGATTTTCCAAAGGAAGGTAACTTCATTTTCATGGCAAACCCTCAGACCCATCCATGTGCCTTTTCACAACCCTGCCCTTCTCGGACCCTGAACCAGTGTAGGCCAAGCAGGAGGTGGCGAGGAGAGGTTCCGATGGGGTGGTGGGGACGACCCCCTTGCGAACTGCATTTGCAGCTGCCATATAGTAGCCAACAAGCACCAGATTTATATGCACTTTGAAAGAAGCCCCTTCACCATTGGCTTTTGGAGCAGCGCTGTCGCTAGGGAGCGGCGGGCAGGGCGAGCACAGGCTGGGGAGAAGCCCGGGCTGTTTGTGCTGTAACCTGGGAGAGGGGCGCACGCATCCTGCGCTCTGCACGCGGACACACACTCTAGGCGAGGTGCAGCCCCCGGCCCCGTCCGCCGAGGGCGCCCCCAGGTGCCACTCTGGGTGGAGCAGCAGCTCCCCGCTAGCCTCAGGGCCCCTGGTCCCCGCTGCTGCCGCCCAGAGGAGAAAGGCACCGCTGCTCCAAATCTCGGGGCGCCGCAGCCCGTGCCACGCAGCCGGAGCCTGGAGCCTCGGGGGCGGTGCAGCCGGAGAGCGCAGTGAATGAGTTCCCCCAGCGTCTCCGAGTTGTCTGAGTTGGTGGCGCTGTGCGGTTTTCCGGGCTGTCGGCGCCCCACTGGCTTACCGGTGGCCGGGCCAGACCCGCACGCCGGGGAGCCCAGGCTCCTGAGCTCCTGTCCCAGCCCCAGTCCGGGGAGCAGGCGGGCGAGCCCCGGGCAGAGGCGCGCGTTCAGCCCGCACTCTGCGCGGCTTCTGCTGTCTCCATGGCGTCCTATCAGCAATCCCGCATCCAGGCTTACCTGGAGAAGAACAAGATCGGTCCCCTGTTTGAGGTAAGGCGCTGTGGAGGGAGGGGTGCCCAGACAGAAGCAGATCACCTGGAGGGAAGGGGGGAGAGAGACAGACGCGCAGGAGGGGCGCCCCTGTGGCTCCAGGTCACTGCTACCGCGCCTGCGGGCCAGCTGTCCTGGAACACAGCCGGGCTGGCACTTCCCTGCTTACCTGGGCGCAGACAGGTGAGCGCGGTCGGCCTGGCCTCAGCCTGGCAGGGAAGTTTGAGCCATCTGAGTGTCCAGCACTCGAAGTCACGCCCAAGACCCTGACACACACACACACGCACACACACACCCACGCTTTCTGGAATTCACGCTGTCTTGCATATTGAATTTTTAAAAATGTTGGCAGTAGTGGAACCGGGAAAGGTGGAGGAGGTGCTTAGCAGCGGAAGGAACACGGTTAACTGGGAGAAGGTGGGACTGGTAAGGAGTGGGCTTGGGTAGATGCGGGCTTGTTGAATGAAATTGCCAAAGGGCGACGCCGACAGTGGGGTTTGGATGGGAGGAGAGCATGCGACGCCGACAGTGGGGTTTGGATGGGAGGAGAGCATGGCAGACCCTACCTGGAAGGCGCGGGGGGGGGGGGGGGGGGGCGGAGGAAGGTTCAGGAAAAGCACACGCGTATTTATGGGAAGGAGACGTAGCTCTCTGCTGTGTTCTCTTGCCAACAGTACTGGTGACAAAAATACGGTAGGAGCAAGGAAGAACGGGAGGACTCAAGAAAATGAGAATGGGAGACAGAAACCCTGCGCCTGCCAAGTGTCCCACGGGTTGCCAGGGGGCTGGGCAGATGTGGAGGCAGGAGGGAGGGATGCCACTGTCCCTTCTCCTCCAGGTTGAACCTCCTAGCTAGGCACCTGCATGGTCCAGGAGCTGTGGGAGGGTCCACATACCTTTGCTTGCCCTCCTCCCAAAAAGCAGTTGTGGCCATTCTTTGTGGTTACATGTCCCTGGCCTCTGATTGGGGCTGAAGCGCAGCAGCGGGGAGAGGTACCGAGAATGGAGCAGCTTTTCTAGGACTTAAGAGAGTGAGAACAGCAGAGAAAACAATGATTCAAACTAATGCTTCAACACAAAAAGGGACACTGGACAAGAGCGTGCGATCAGATAGGTCTTTTCTCTGGGGAGGAGCGATTTGACATGACCAAGATTGTGTGATCTCTTGGTTTTCTGTCCATCCTTAATGGTGTGCTGTCTTGAAAGCGTGGCCATAGTTTCTGCGGAAACTCACTGTTGTGTAGTCATAACGCCTTACACTGTGTGAATTGATTCTTGTTTCTGCTAAAAGTGTTAGCAAAGGAGGTCCATATCTAAAAGCAAAGTAGAATGGCTGGAGCTATTAGATTCCTTTACCTTTCGTGAAATAATTGGAGACTATAGGCAAGGCCATATGCATATTTTTAAAAAATAGAAGGGATATTTTAACAAACATCCCTTTGTGGCACAGTGTGTTAATTACACCAAAAGAAAGATAAAGGAAATATATTTAGAGTGTTTCTACTCTCTTGGAATATGTACAATTTATTGGGGTGAATAACTGAATTGGTTTTTTTTTAAATAGATGCTGTTCTCAACATATTTTAAAATTCTGAAGAGTTTCTCCAAGTGATAATAGAGCTTGGAATGTATGTAAACTTCCTACATAATTAGGAAATAAATCCAACGTCATATTTATCAAGTCCACATTTTTAAAAAATGCTCTCCAGCTAGTTCTGCACTGATGAGATTTAAGTTTTGTCAAAATTTTCTCATAAAATCATAAGACGCCCTCACTACAAAACAATGACTAAATTATATGCTTTATGGGCACAGACAACGGTGGTGATTGGGGAGAGATGGAGGAAACTACGCGGGGCGGGGTGGAGGTAAATGGTGATGGGTGGAGACTTGACTCGGGGTGGTGAACACAGTGCGGTGTGCAGATGATGTGCTGAGGAATCGTGCACCGGACACCTGTATAATTTTGTTAACCATTGTCACCCCACTACATTCAAAGGAAAAAATGATGTGCTCTGATTTTTGTAGGTTTTGTTGATGACGAATTACATAGATCCCATATGTAGTGATAAGTAGTTGATTTTTAAGGATTGATGTGCACTTTAAAAATTGAAGGGAGAAAACGGATATGTTCTCTTTTAGGGAAAGCAGGTCTTTATATAATAATTTTGATCTTTATAGAGCTCGGTTTTGAGAGTAGAATTGCACATACTTCACAAAATTGAACACTCTCACCAGCTTGTAGTTGCCTATTTCTTCCTATTCTAGAAAACCAGTGAAACGGGTGTAACACAGATATTGCTGATCTAACATTCTCCTCAGTGCTCCCAGTGCTTTGGTTAATGGTTCTTATAAGAACTGCTCTGGAGACCAGAGAGGGGGCCAGGAATCCAAATATAGTAAGAGGCACAAATTATTATGTATTTAATTCCTGGACCACATTTTAAGAAACAGTGACATAAGCTAAGATCTCCTTTTCTCAATCACTCATTGAAATGGTTAGCTGTCTCCTAGTTTTATTATCTGTGTGTTGTTGTCATTTTTTGTGTTTGTGCTGAGGTAGTGGAGTTGGTGAAATAAGTTTACTTTTGTTTTGAAAATATACAAGATCTGACATTATGTCCCCTTTACAGATTTTGTAAATTTGGAATGCTGTTGTTTTTTTTTTTTTTTTTTTTTTTTTTTAAAAAAAACTTAATGGAATGAGGCATCTCAGAAAGAGCACTTGAATGTTATTTTGAAACAATAGCAAAGGTCACACATACTATTATTGAGGATACTTGTATCCTATTTTTTTTTTCCCACCTGAGTATCTTATTTACTTGCTTGCTAGTTTATTTCTTACTTAATTTGTTTATTTCTAACATCTTATCATTTGAGAAGCTTATAACATGTTGCACACAATATGGTGTTTCAAAAACCACTTTAAATTAAAATGAATCCTGTGTCCAGATGATTTAGTAGTATAAGTTTATGCTACCTTTAAATATGATTGAAGATGTTTTGAAGCCTTATATAACCATGCCTAGAAATCATTTCATTAGAGTCTTGGATAATGATATTTTAATCAAATAATAGGAAGACTTAAGATGGAAATGGTAGTGATGACTTACATTCCACAACTATTTCATATTTTTGTAAGATGTAACACTTTCAGTATTTTGTTGGTTTATTCAGGGCATCAATCTATAAGGAATGCTTGACACCACTTCAATAAATTAGCCCTAAAACCCTATTTACTATGGATTTCCACACATAGTTCCTTAGTTGTGACATGGTTTGTCTCCCGCCAAAGGGGAGTATTTTTTCGACGCACATAGGGAAGATGCATAATCTAAACCCAAAGGCTTATCTCAAACCCTAAGGCCAACCACTTAACCATCAAAGAATTTGGCAGTCAGAAATTCTGAAACTGAATAATTAACTGGCATGTAGCTTCTTATTGGGATAAAGAGATTTATTTTGTCGATATTTTAAGAAGCTTAACTTCATTTCCAAGAGATTATATGCTGTGGAACATCACAGTACATTTATTTTCAACATAGAGAAGTATACATTGCTGTTAAATAGAATAATTACTTGAAAATTATTGGTTGCAAGCTGCTCAGGGCAGTCATATATCTTGGTTCAGGCCTGAGCATACTCACAAGAGAGTAAAATTCTAAACTACCAAAAAGCAGAATAAAAAGTCCTTTATAAAATCTCCATAGAATTTTTAAATCTCTGTGTATCGAAGATGTGGCCAACCAAATTCACTATATTTCTCCAAATGCAATCTGATTCGCTCCAAGTAAAATCACCTTCTTTATTTAGCTCAAAGAACCTCTACCTACATGGCCTGAATTTGTGCTAATTGATGTGGCAGGTGCTATGAGATGGACTCATGTCCAGTGTATGGTCGCCCATAGCCTGCATCAGTCACACACTTGCTGCTGCACAAGTGGCTTTTTCCAGGTACCCTTTCCAGCCACTCTGCAACACTGAAATCCAATTGGCCTGGAGAGTATCAGGTAGTCACCTGGCACGATCAGGAGATTTGTTACTTACGAGGTAGGGGAGTATTGAGAAAGTAATTAAATGTATTGAAAACAGTGCGAGCAAACTGTCACACTGACGGAGATGGGCGTCACAAATATAAAAAGGAAAAGAAGTAGAATGAGCCTTGTGGTGCTGGAATGAAATTGGAGGTATTGATGTGCCTCAAGACTTTCAATAATAGAAATAGATGTAGATGTAATAGAAATAAATATGTGTGTATTAACAGATGTATAAATGTATACATTTATTTCCTTACTCTGCCTTACTGTGAAGGCCCGGGAATAGCAACACCCCAGTAGCAATGAGCACCCTTAGTGACCAGATTTTGGATTTTCTCTGTTAGTAGAACCAGGTATCCTTGGAGAAATGGTTGATTCCAGCTTTGGAACTGAGAAAGTACAAGATGAACCTGAGAAATCTTATGCCAGAAAGTAAGAAAGTGGCCAAAGAAAAATAGCTACATGTCAGAAGAATATAGAAGGCAGCTTTTAGAAGCTCTTACTAACTAAATCTGGGACATCTTAAGAATCAAAACGAAAAAAAAACCGATGGTAACAGATTATCTTGCTGTATAAAACAGGAGTAGTTTATTGCACAGGGACAATAATGAGATACATGAATGTATTCAATTTATAGGAAGGTGAGAACGCTTTATCATATAGTAGAATGCCAATTAATAAATACAGAAGGGATGATGGAATTAGAAAATCACTACTTGGCAACCATCTTCTTAGTAATTCGGGCAAGAGACATTAATTGATGCTAAAACAAATGGGTGAAAAGTAGATGAGGAATGAGATGTTATATCATCTCTAGTATCTTTTCACGGAATAGTGTTAATTACAAAAGGGAAAAAGTAGCTTTAAAGTGAAGGAACCTGGCAGACACTACTTTAAATAATCAAACCGATAGCCTGTGCCTCCTGGTAGGATGCAGTTAAAACAATGTGGCATTAGGGCTTG